TTCCCTCCCCAGATGCAATTTTAATGGGTTTTCCTAATGAAAAGCTCATCAGCGTCGTGCGCTAATGGCCTTCCCAGCCAAACAAACACAGCAGGTCAGCTGGGAAGGGTTAAACACCCGCCCTTTGTGCGAGCTGTTCCAGCTCACGTTCAGCCGTTCCCAATTACGGGTGGTGCAAAGTCCACGTGCTGTCATTATTGCAGTGGAATCAATTAAAAACCTCATAAACACAGCGGTGTGTATCAAATATATACAATTACGCTTCCGTAGAGCCGAACACAGCCACCAAATCAAAATATATTTGACTCCTTTAATTTGTTTTATAGGTGGCAGAGTCTGTGATTTCAGCAAGATGGGGAAAGCACTTGACCCTCCTAATGCACCAGTTGCCAGGGGATATTGGTGTCAAATTAAGAAGTTCCAGGCCTGCCTGCTGCACCCAGGTTGAGATGGTTATTTTATATTTTCACCTGCTCACATAACTAACTGAAGGGAGTTAAATATATGCTCTTGACTTCCTCTGGAAAGCTTTGCTATGTTGCAGGTGGCTCCGAGATGTTTGTCTCTAAAGCCCATTTCTGCTTGCTTAACAAGGTTCACAGTATCTTTGAAAAGGAAATTTGTGTTCAAAAGAGCTCACGGAGGCCTTGAGAGATCCTCTCAGCCACTCTGTGTGATCAGCTCTCCTTGTATTGTTCCTGATAGATTTTTCTGAGCCTGGGTTACGTAAACCTCCAGCGATGGCAATTCCGTGCCATTCCCAGTAGCCTGTTGCGAATCGCCTGTATCTCGCTTTTGAGCGGATCCTTCACTGTCACCCAGCAACAAAAAGCTTTTCCCCTGGAAGAGGACAGGAGTCCCTGCAAAGAGCAGAGAAGTGGTAAGTGCAGGTCTTTATTGTACCATTCTTGTCCATTTACAGCAGGACCCCCAGTGCTGCTGTTGGCACAAAGGCCAAGCAGTTTGGGGTGTTTTCCCCATACACCTGAAAATATTTACAGAGCCTTTGCAGTAAATCAGTGTTAAGGCTTTCTACATCTTCCAAGAAGTCCTCCAGCTCTCCAGCCCAAACATGAGCCCTGGTGACCCTGCATACCAGCTCTTTCAGCTGGTATGAGAGATCCTCTCAATTCTATGATTCTGTTCTTTCAGCTGTCCAAGCAGCTGGCTTCCCTGACCCCAGCAGGATTGGTTTTGCATCGCTTTCCAAGGCAATAGCTGCTTCTTACATGACTCGTGCATCCATCAAAGAGTCTGTTAGTGCAGTCTGAGAGGTCAGAAAGGAGCTTTAGGCAACTTGGTCTGGAGAAATCGGGCTCTACCGTCTGCTACCACAAGGAACAGAGATTCACAGTCTCGGGTACGTCGTCTTTGAGGGTTTCTGTGAACCCATCTCCAAACCCCTCTGCTTCCACCAGCTCAGGTTTCTTGTTGCACATGGGGCAGAGCTGGTTGCGGATGGCAGATGATCTCATCCAAATAATGAGGTTCCAGCGTTCCCCGGAGCCAATGGGAAGCGCCCCATGGATCTGTCCTCCTCGGTGTAACAGCCCCTGGGCTCTCACATGTTCAATCTCGATGTACTTTGGCACAGGGGTAGGATCCTGGAACAAAGAGAGGTGGATACAGCATTATACCAGCAAGACCCTAGCAGAACAATGCTCAAATAGTTGAAGCTTTTACTCATCACCTCTTCACCCGCAGCACCCAGTGAGCAACATGGAGAGGACTCGCTGCACCTCTGAAACGCAGCCACTTCAGCAGTGGCTTGGCAGCAGTTTAATACAACTGTTTTCAAGAAGACATTCTCAGTGCCAGGTCCAGAGGGAATTTAAAGACAGAATTTCAATAAAAAAAACCTGTTTTACCAGTGTATGGGAGCTTTTACTCTTCTCTTGCCAGGAAATAGGGGCTACAAATTTAGGTTTAAGTTTCATCTGAAATAAATTTCTCCTCTCTCAGCACCTCCCTGCTCACTATTTCAGTTGTGGAAAGACAGGCTGGTTTGTTTCACTCCGGTTTCTACTACAATAGCTGTCTCTGTCCTCACTTTGAAGCTTGAATATTGGTAACGTGCTTGTAGCAGAAAAGACATTTTAAAAAAGGGGGGAAGGGACAGAGCAGGTTCGACTGTCAGAAGTGAATAATTGTTTTTTAGAACACAGTTAATGCCTTGAAACTGGGGGGCGAGGGGATAGAGGGGAATAGAATTGGGGTCCAGATTAGGAATATGCTTGGTACCTGGCTGAAATCCCCAAAGTACAAGTTGCCTTCTGTGAAGTCTCTTCCCAGTGAAACATTTAAGGTGACTTCTGCATTGTCATAGTGAGAGCTCAAATCCAGATCTTCGTGCAGTGAGTACTTGACAACAAATGCTTTATGGCTGTCCAGACAAGCACCCCCCAAGTCAGGATAAAGCAGTGCTGTTATGGGCCGCAGGTATTTTTCACGCAGGGGTGTGATGAATGTTTCATCCATCCCAAGCTCATTTAGCAAAACCTGTCTCAAAGAGAGGAGATGGAAACAGCTGATCACCTACACCTGCTGCTTCATCAGAGCTGCTGCAGAGCTATCTTGTTCTCTTCCAACCCTGCTGCTTGCTCAGATAAAGAACTGAAGAGCAAATGCTCCTGCTACAGGCAAAGGAAGGAGGATCAAGGTGGAAAGTGATGAGGAAAAGACAGAGTAAGATCAACAGTTGAATGTTCTTTAAAAATGTTCCCTCAACCCTTTCACTTCAAGGGGGCTGTACTAAAACTGCACTGTGCTCAAATTACAGGCATTTTGGAAGGGACAGGAGTGTGAAGTGAGGAGATAAACAGAGTCTGCTTGTGAACACTCCCCTTAAAGAAGCACAAGAGCTAGTGAATCCTACCCCATAGTTATTCATAGTGTTGGGCCTGCCTTTAGGCATGTCCGACTGCTCAAAGTTCTCCAGCTCATCCACAAAGGCTTGGCAGAATTCCTCTGTGAACACTGGGATTCGATAGATCCTCTTATCTGTCAAGAGAAGGGAGACACCATTTTCTGGGGAAAATACCACGCAAAAGGGTTCTGTGCTGTCTAGTTATACTGTGCTGGTGTCAGTGAGAACGCAGGACCCACGTGCTTCGCTTTATGCTCAGGCTGCTCAACGGGCTGGAACCATTCCCTGGGATCGGCTCTGGGATGTATTTGTTCGTTTTTTATGTTGACCTCTCGTTTCCAGGCTTCCCTATCCAGTTGGGAGATCTGGCACTGATTTAAATGCCTGTTGTAGGCGCGAAGGAAACATTTTGAGAGGGTCTAGGGGGAGGGAGGGTGGTGAATCAACGGCTCATCCCAGGCAGTCTGAATACAGTCTCCTGGAAGAAGGAGACTCAAGGTCATTTAGGGGACAGGGGATTCACTCATCCAGTGCAAACCTTCTGGGAAGACCAGGCCTTCTGAGCTGCCTTTCAGGGTAGGGCCCTAAAGGTCTGTGTAGGGGAAGCTCAGTACTGAGAGTGAAGCTGAGATAAAGACAGCGTGAAAAGATGGTGCATCTGGAAATCATGCCTTGGACAAATCCAGGAGCCCTGCACATGCACAATGTTTATGTCTTTTTTTTTTTTTGTCTTGAGAAAAGGAGGCAACTTTGCAGCTTCCCCTCTACATTTTGTCAGCATTTCTGGTAGGCTTCACAGATGCCTCTGGGGACGCTTAAAACCCAGATCTCTTTTAAAAAAGACTGAAATCTAGACTGAAACTATTTCAGCTCAGACTAACCAACAGGGATTGTCTGAAATGGTAGAGCACTTGGGGAGGGACAACCAAGCTCCCCAGGCTAACAGTGTTCCTTCACAGGCTCCCTCGTGAGGCTGTGGTACAACCAAAACCCCAGCTCTGCTGCAGCTAGAGCTTCTGACAAGACATTAGCAGACTGGAATTGGAAAAGCAAAAACAGGATCTCATCCAGAGCATGACTGCTGCACAATACTGCCTCTCCAGAGACTCTCGTCAAGCAGAAAATAACATCCTGTTTGTCTCAGCTGTGTATCAAATCTGAGCTATTAAAGACAGGGCTTGAAAACAGCTGTCATCACTGAAGCTGCCATGTCACAGGGAGAGATCTTTGTGGCTGATGTGTTGTTTTCTTTACCTGAGAAGGACTTAATGTAGCGCAGGAGGCCATGGAGATGAGCATCCGGTGATGTGCAGTATCTCACGATTTCTAGAAAATCTGGGGCCAGGAAGGAATCCTGGTGTCAAGGGAAGGATGATAAAAATACAAAGAAACACAATTAGCCTGCGCAATCTTTTACAGGCCAAGAGGAAAAAGGACTTCCAGGCATCCACAGGAAAACATGCAGAGTCTAGAGAGCAAGGCTGATAGTCACACTTGGGTTACTTCTGTGGCAGGAAACGCAGAATGTTACTGGTGTTTTTCTTGGTGGTTTAGGTAAGTTGCTGCTTGCTCTAGTTCACGGGTTTCCAAGTATGACTGGCCAGATTTATCCTTAGTGTGATGGGAAAGAGCCTGGCTCGCATTGTGGACTCCTTACAGGTAAGGGCAAAGTCTTTCGCAGCAGATTTAGCATCTTGTGGTGGCCTCAGCGCAACAAAGTGACTACGCTCTGTTGTAAGCACTTCCCCACACAGATTATGACGGAGAAACAACAGCAGAACTTGTTACCAAACTATCATAGAGCAGTAAATCTGTGTGAACTTGTTTGTGTGGTACTGCTGATGTGTGGCAATTATCCAGCTGGGAAGCCTTGGGTCTGGCAATCGTGAGGAATTTCAAAGCAGACAAGCCCACAAGGGCTACCCTGCATTTGTGGTGGAGCATATACACGCTAGCAGCTTGCTGCCCCACTTCAGCTGACAGTAACTAACTTCTCTGTGTGTTAAGCCCATAAAGGCTGCTTTCTGTGGCTGTTAATTAGACCTCACCGACCCTGTTTGCTGCAATGATGATTTAGGTCTAAATTACTAATAGTGTTCTGAGTCCAGTACCAGGTGCTGGTGCAGCTTCAATACAGAATGACACTTGTCAGGCCATAAGCCAGCTGGAATCTTGCCTGGAGAATACACTACACTGTGAAAGTTTTTAATTCAGTTTTAACATGCTGTGCTTTGGTTTTAGTTCAGTTCAGCTCTAGCACTGTGGGCAATCCTGAAAAGAGGGCTTCCTACTGCAAACATAAACTGTCAGGCAATTCCTTGGGTGCAAAAGAGATTCCAAACATAGTGTCTACCTGCAGAATGTACACTTCTGGGTGTTTTTGTTTGTAGCACTTTGAGATGATGGCTTTGCGTTCCACTGACTGATGAATTAACTGTTTTCTTCTCTGCACTTCTGCCTCAATCTACAAGTAAACAATAAAGCATATTGTTAGAAAATCAAAAGGGATAATGAAAACAATTCCAGGAATTTGCTCATTGTTTTAAATCAGTTATTTTTGTTCTGGTACCTCTGGGAGACAGAGTGTATGCCTTTGCTTTTCTGTAGTCAAGACAAGTCCAATAAATACCTGAAAAGCCAAATGCCTAAGAGGGATTTGAGACACGTTCTCATTATGGATGGCTTAAAAAAATAACTGAAGTCTTTCCATGGATGTGTCAAGCGGAGCTGTGAGGTTTCAGCCCTTTCAGGCATTCTGACGCCTCATGAATCGCTGGCCTATGCTTTAAGAGTCTGGCTTATGTTCTGACAATACAAGCATTGTCCAAAATAAAGACAGTTGCTGGGAGGAAGACAGGAGTTGTCATGAAGGGATTACTGCTAAGTGTTGTGAGGACAGGCTAATCTGTCATTTCAGAGGAAACAGCTGTAGCAGCAGCTGATTCAGGCAGCTCTTCCTATTTAATAACCCCCCATGAGATTAGTTTAAAAAGGAAGGAAGGTGTAACCAGTACCCCCTGCTCCCAACCGCTGGTAATGTGGTTAGCATAACTAACAACATTTTATAAGGCAAGCAGCCATTCTCTGTGATTGAGCAGGTCACCTATTTGTTCCCTTTCCCTCATTATCAGGCCCTGAAGGACCTGTGAACCAAGGAGACGATCCAAACAGATTCCTTCTTCCCCTTCCTACCAGCTTCAAGGTTCCTGGGTGCCAGGGTGATTACTCCCTTCCTTGCTGGCCTTGAAGGTCCCAGGCACCCAGGTCTTGTTGATGACCCCATCACAGAACAGGGAAGCATAACAGCACCCAGACCACTGTCTATAGAATCAAGCAATTACAAGTCCTAAGTGGGGAACTTGGGCTGGAACTGCTGCTGGACAGTGAGGGCTGTGACACCCCCATGGCCAGGGACACCTCCACCATCATCTCCCTCCTCCGAGGACTGAGTGACTTGTATTCTTTTATATTATTTTTTGAGTCTGCATTGTGATGCTTATATTGATACAGCAAACCATGTATTAAGATCTGACTTGATCTGTAGAGGGTCCAGGTGATCAGAAAGTTAAGTTAGGATCTAGGTGATTAGAAATTATAACTTAAGTTAGGATCTAGAAATCCTAAGTTGTGTTATAAATTCTGTATTACACTGCATTGATTTAGGTTGTAGAAACCCTGTGCTGTTCTAATCATAAATTCTGTGCTATGCTAATCATAATGTTGTGTTAAGAAAATAAAGCTTTAATTGTAACTACGATTTAGTGCTGACATCATCCTACCAAGGATCCCTAAAAGAACCTGTCTGTCCCCTTAGTGTTGGGGTGAACTTGGAGCTGGCCGTGTGAGAGATCCCTGTCCCTGGCCTGGAAGGAAAGACAGACAGATCCCTCCTTGAAGAGCGCGTGCGGAGAGTTCCTGCGCTACACCCAGGGCAGTGCTGCCTTCCCGGGCAGAGCAGACCTCATGTGAGCCCTGCAGGCCCCCGGGCGATCCCATTTCAAGGCACTTTTGCACAAAGGAAGGGATGAGGACAGACAAACTAGAAGGGTGCTGGGAGCCAGCCGACCAAAACCAGTTAGGGAGCGGCACAAGGGCCATTTTCATAACGTGCTGAATTACAGTATTTACTCCCAGCGTGTTGCCTGCATAAACACATCACTGACAGCATCCAGCCCGATCGAGGCGCCAGAGGGGAATTTTTCCCTCCCGTCTCCGCGCAGCACCGCGTCTGGTCAGGACGGGACCCCCGAGGGAAGCCCCCGGCCCGCTCCGACGGGATTCCGAGGCGGAGCCGCGCTCACCTCCCGCAGCGCGGCTCTGAAGTCCTCCTCGCT